AGTTGTCTGGGACAGACTCCTTTTCCCAAATGCAAGCAAACAGGTCGGACAGGCTGCGCACTAGATGTGGAGGGCTCATAAATACGTGCGTAAGTACCTCTTTCTGTGGATTTTCAAATGGGCGGATTGGGAAGGTGACTATGCATTGAAAGTAATAGCTTGGATCCAAGAACGCCATTGAGGGCGCGACCGGGCCACATGTGACAATGTCTCTAACCATTGATATGGCCCGTTTCGGGGTCTCCATCCAGGAAGGCGGTAACGACGAGCGTAGCTGAGTTTGCTGGCAGTGGCTTCTATACCTCGGTGTCAAGTCATTGTTTGACCTTCACTGGCTCGTTTCCACCCTTCACGTGGTTGTGCGAAAAGAACGCTTCGAAAAAGTCGGTCGCCTGACATACGGAGGTCGTGGCCAAGCCAGCGCAACCGATGCAGAGTGATCAGTTCATCTACTGTAGGCGAGTTATTTCTTCCGAAAACTGTTCGAAGGACTTCAGCAGTGTGGATCCGGTGTTCCCACCAGATTCGGGCAATGCTCCGAAGATATTGATGGAAGTCTTTTGACGTTCTCGGCGCGCAGCGACTAGGTTTTTGGCCCGTATGGGACGTACGGCAGCATTGTAAACTCAGCCATTGACGGACAAAGTGATAATATGCTCACGCCACAGGTGACGCAGGTTCATAAAAGCTGCTCTGGTTTTCCTGATCCTGCGAGACCACCCGGACTAATCCAGCTGCCCAGGTAAACAGATTAGTCCACTATCTCAACGGGCTTATCCCCAAACATGAGGTTGGCTTCCGCGCCCACCCAGTCTTACAGCAGCACTTTTCACTTTGCAGGTGTGAAGTGCATGCCAAACTGTGGGGCAGAATTATTTAAATTATTTGATATTGTTTACATCATCACGGGGTCAGATCCATAAAGAGCTATGTCGTATGCGTACTCGATATCTGTGGGCGGATGCCCAGGGAGAACTTCGACTCCTAGACATCAGAAGCTGATAGTGAGTCTTCTGTGATCGTATCAATGACAAAGCTGAAGATAAAAGCTGAAATAAGACGACCCTTTGTGACACTGCTTGATGTAGTAAACTCAGGAGAGAGCTTCCCGTAGACCTTTACACGGCGGCCTGAGTTGGCGTACAGCGCACTGGATACCTTTGCTCCACAGACACTGCCACAATACCCGACGGTCCACAGAGTAAAAGACAGCTTCCATACCGGTGAACGATGGGTGATATGGCCCAAGTAGTTGGAGCGTGAACTTACCGACCGGAAGGTCCGTGGTTCGAACCCGACCTCTGCCTCTCGACATCCCCTGTTCAGGCTTGGGAAACCTGGTAGTGTCCCGGCCCTCGTGTTTCCTTCGGGTAGCGTGGCAGTTAGGCACCGAAGTGGTGCTACAGCTGAACGAACACAACCATTGTTGGTTGCTGGAAACAGTGTCACTGTTCCAGAATCTGACGGAGGGTGAATATGTGATCAGTCCATCGTCTCGCAGGACGAAACCCATTTTGGTTTTCACGGATCTGTCTCTCCTTGTGTTCAGTCAACCTTCGAAGGATAAGATTAGAAAGCACATTCGATTCTGCAGCTACCAGGTTGACACCATAGTGGGTTTCAAACAGGGTCCGCGTGCCCTTTTTTAAGTTTCGGATCGTTATCGGCATGCCTTATTCTGCAGGCACCTCGTTCCATATAGCACCAATAGGCTTTGTCAGATTGATTAACAGGCTGTGGAGTGCTTAATGCACATCGGTTGGATAACTGGCACTCAAACTACCCAGCAACGTTTGCTTGTGGGATGGGAAGTGTTTGAGACAAAGTGTTTGGTGGATAAAGAACTATTATGGCAAATGATATGTCCAGGTTTCCCGAATTGAGGAAGGGGTTCGGACGAGGTACCCACCTCGAGCCTTTGACTCAAAAGTCTGACCCACAAGTCAGTGGGAGGATGTATGGTTTTCTTCGGGGACCTTGTCTGGAGCAGGTGATTAAATAACCTGACCTGCTCGGCTTCAGAAGACTGAGCTAACCTGAGGATGCAGGGAGTAAAGCATTACTGCCTCACTTCTGAGACGGCTATGTACAGCGGGTGCCTTTTGAACGATATCGTATCCTTTGATTTTAAAAGTCTTTTAACCGTATTGAATAATGCGCCAGAAGTCACGGCCAACCGTTGGACGATTGGTGTGTAGTTTTTGGGGTTGACATTTTCCATATCACCTCTTTTTAGGAAAACGTAACACAGCTGCCTCGGGGTAGCATCTCCAGGTCGAGGATCTCTGAGCTCAATAAGAGGACTAATCGCTTCGAACGTTTTCGGTGAACCTCAGATTAAACCGTCTGGAATTCAAGGATCACTATCAGTTTTTGGTATATCCCGAACGCTTCTTACGACTCGTAATCTACGCGAAACCTTGATTCTCGCGTATTACTTCTTTGCCCGGTTGTTTAACCAATATGTTCAGAGCTATCGACGGGGGACTCAAGAGGAGGCGTCAACTGTCTTAGTATGGTGTTTCGAACAACGTTTTACCTCTTGTCACCGCTATTGTAGGCGAAACTCTCTGTGAACAAGTCACCGCCTTTCGACATGCGTCCTGCACCTTCAAGGTGCAAAGTTACATTCAATGCGGTCTCCTTGCAATTCAAGGAGAAGCACTGGATATTGTATGGAATTTCGCATACCTCGTTGGTTGTTGTAGCTCTGACGGAAGTGTCTGATGAAGTCAGTGCGCGAATATCAAAGGCTTGAATTACGTTCGCTACTTTGCGTCAAAAAGGCATACCAGTTTCAAAGGTCGCGTGCACCAGAATACAGTAAGAGTTGTATTGTTGTGTGTTTGTAAGACGTGGCCTCGGCAGACAGGCGGTCTGAAGCTCTTTCAGGCTTTTGACAACCGATGCCTCAGAAGCGTTGTTAGTGTTGCATGGCGTCAACGAATTCCTAACGAGGTAATGAAAGAACGAGTATCTGTTTGTTCGGTGGGTTGTTCAGTCGCGGATAACCTCCAACACCATAAACTGTGGCGCTGCAACCATGTGCTACGCGTGCCGAAACACCGTCCGCCGAAACCAGTGTTCTTTATGCCTACTTCTGATTAGCACCGCGAGTTGGACAACTTATGGCTTGCCAGTGGGGTGTGAGATTAACAAGAGTTTAGGTAGTGTTGGTGCGATTCGGCTTCAGGATGAGGCTACGGTGACCTCTTGCACTTGGCATGAGACAGTGGAAGATGTCAGTGGCGTCCATGTTGTCAGCTTCCGTTCAAAATTCTGATTGGGGTTAAGGCACTTCAGAACGCTTGTGATAGGCCAGCATCAGGCTTCCTTCTTTCCCACTGTTTTCTCTTCTTTTCACCCTAAGGCTTTGAATATAATTAAGGAAACCTTGTTGCTGTACGGTAGTGAACCATCAGTGTCAGCACTGATGTTGTCGTCTTGATGATGGCTGTGAACAAGTTTGGTCCGCAGGAAAATCATACGGGTGTTATCTTTGACAATGTGTCGAACACTTCGAAGCACATTAGGTGTTTGTGATTCACACTGTTCGCAAGAGACACGCCTGCCATTGATGAGGACATCGAACATTTTATAGTATCAACTCCCAACAACAGCTCTCTCAGTGACGGCGCGAAGCACACTGTTTGTGATTCACGCTGTTCGCAAGAGACACACCTGCCATTGATGAGGACATCGAACATTTAATAGTATCAGCTCCCAACAACAGCTCTCTCAGTGACGGCGAAGCAACAGTATTGAATACTGATATCATGCTGTCGAGGATTATAATGCAACAAAAAGTCGATTTCGCTACGTGGTCTAAATCGGGAGTATGGGGTGATATAATCGCGGCTGTTTTACATTGTGAAGGTCGGAAGGCAGCATTTGCAACCCAAGTCTCACGGCTTAGCCCACAAAGAGAGAAAATACCTCGTTACCCACTGGAGTGGATTCCCGCCTTAGTTAGACCAAGAAATTCACGCCCAATCATACGTTGAGTAACACAAGTAGTTCACAGATTTGGTGCACTGTTTGTATTGAGTGGATACAAATCCGCAACCAATGGTGGAACGTGAAAGGATTTGAGTGCCACAGGCGAGTTTCGTCCATGTGTCGTTTCAACTTACAGCTCACGGCTTTCGGATAATGGTAGCTACCAGAACTTTGAATACTGATCATATCTTAGACGTGGGTGCTTTTAAGAAATGCGGTTGACAGTGACAGGTGAATGGCAAGGTCCAAACGATTTTCAGTGGGTCTAGAGTTAAGAACACTTTTGGAACGCCTTTTCGCCCCACCCATCACAGTATCCTCTCCGGCAGAAAACTGAGATGGAAACATCTGCTGACCTGTAGTCACCGATGCAAAGTCATTAGTTGTACGTGTGTGTATATATTGGCGATGAAATTAGAGGGTTGGTTGAACAAGATTTCTTGTGAGAAAGGTCTAGAGGTGGAGCATTTTCGTGTGAATCATCAATAGTTGCACGAGAAGTTCTCCTTGGTTGTTACGACCCATGTTGCTTTATGGATTGGGAATGTGTCGAGGATATAACAGGGACTTGATGTTTCACCGTCGGTGACTCTGGGGCATTTTTAGGGTCTGAGTGGGTCGTCGAGTCAATTTCGGTTGTCTTATGAACAGCTTCTGTGAATGAAGAGTGCTTTCAGGCTGCATGACGTTGCATATCTTTCTGTCAGAAAACGATGTTTGACGGTCTAACCTTTATTGATGATCGATACCACTGTTTTTGTTTCATTTCAGCATTTTGTTGTCCGAGCTTCAGGCGATCACATTCGCTTAAGAACTGATTCCCTACAAGTGTTATTATCATGCAGAATTTGTTAGCGGGCTGCCGCAGCACCAGGCCCTTACTGCAATCAGTTGTTGGTCTTGGGCATCTGAATGGTAATCCTAGAGTAGCACAGGCGCACAAACTTCCCGATCTACCGTATGACTTCAATGCCCTAGAACCCACTATATCCGCCGATATCATGCGCCTCCATTATAACAAACACCATGCGACCTATGTGTCCAACCTGAATATCGCTGAAGAGCAAGTCGCAGAGGCCATGGCCAAGAATGACATCATCCGGGTGAGGTTTTAAACAATCCCTCGGCCTTTTCTATGCAATGCTGTTATTCACCATACCCCGTTTGCAAATGTTTCCTGAGGTTTGTGCAGTTCATTACAATCGAAGCCTCCCAAAATTCGAATCTACGTATGTTGCCAGTGTGGTGTATAGCTGGCTTGAAATGCGCAAGGGCCATGTTGATCGAGATATTGCACTGTTCATTAAGCTTAAGCAGGAACAATCGAAATTCCAGGGAATGTATTCGTCTCCACTAAATCGTTAACTGCGTCTCAAAGATACTTTGCTTCATTGATCGAACTTTCGAATCAAGACTTATGGATTGGTTCCTCTAGAAAGCCGCATCTCCTTGCCACTGAAATGGCTGTGGTTTTTAGTTAGAGGCTCAAACTCTGATACACACACAGACCCAATCCTCCGTCCCCACAGCTCTGTGCTTACTGACCCCACTACAAAACCCACATCAGTAATGATTGATCCCAACTTCAGCTCCGTGTACTCAGTTTGGACCCTTTAATACAGTATCGTGCTTTGTTTGGTTCCAGCCCGCTGTCCGCTTCAATGGAGGTGGTCATATAAACCACAGCATTTTCTGGCACAACCTCAGTCCCAAAGGAGGTGGCACCCCGAAAGGCAGTCTTTCCAATGCGATCATCGCTGATTTCGGGTCTTTTGAGGAGTTCAAGTCCAAGCTGTCCGCTCTAACCATCGGCATTCAGGGCTCCGGATGGGGTTGGTTGGGACTGAACCCGATAACCAAGCGTCTCCAGCTTGCCACATGTGCAAACCAAGATCCTTTGGAGGGGACCACAGGTCTGTTGTGTTGTTGTTCGTTGTTATTTTCGATAGTGCAGGAATGTGTGGTTTTTCACAAAGATGTAATGGTACCCTTTTGACCCATTCCTGAAGGGGTCTACTCGATTTATAACTAATCTGGGTTGAAAAGAAATGGTGCAGTCATTGTGTACTGAACAGAGTTTTCTTCTCCAAGGGACTCTTCTGCTCTTTTCTGCCATGAAATTGGAATTGTTCAGCTGTAACGTCCTTCCGTGCCTAGCTGCCATGCCACCCGAAGGAAGCACGGGGCTGGGATACTGCCAGTTTACCCAAGCCTAGGCAGGGGAAGTCGAGAGGTAGAGGTCGGGTTCGAACCACTGACCTTCCTCCAGTCAGTAAGTTCACGCTCTAACCCCTTGAGCCATCTCGCCCCCATGGGTATCCTGAATTTTTGGTGATCTTCGAATAACATAAACCACTTCTGAGTCACTGTCGAAGTCCTCGTTGTTATCCTGAAACACATTTGGTACTTTTCTTGGTTTCCATAGATGTTTTGTCTTCCCTGGATTGATTGTCTTACTGACCGCCCACTCGTCGAGGCCCACTGCATATGTGGTTGTTCTCAACCAGGGATTTGAGTGAAAAACAAAAAACTAAAGGACGAAAGGCTCCGATTTTAGCTCGACTGTGAATATGGAGCATCCTTCAGCCTCAGAAGTGTCCGAGTGTATATCTCTATTCAAGCCTGATCGTGCTACTTGTCCTGGAGACCTCCCACCTGCTCTGTTCAAGGATGGCGATCGACTCATCATCCAGTGCCTGTCTAGCTTATTCGGGTCTGTTTGGGAGACTGTCCCAGACAACTGGGTTCGGTCGGTAATAGTGTCCGTTTTCAAAATGCTTGCTCGCAATGAATGTAGTAACCACAGAGGTATCAGTTGGACTCCCATTTTAACAAAGCTTCTGGCCTCACTGAATCTTCATCTTCTTGCGTCGACACGCGAATTGTTGACCTGTGAGCATCAAACGGGATTTCGACCCGGTGGAGGCTTTGGTGACTACATCTTCACACGCCGTCAGGTCTTAGACCCATATGTCCAAACAACCCACAATCTTGGCATTCCTTGACTTCAAGAGTGCGTTCGATTTTGTCGGTCGGTCGGTATTCTTAAGCACACTTGCTCAGCTGGATATACCCAAAAGTTTGTGAACATAATTCGGTCCCTAGTTTCATATACTTCTGAGCGTGTGAGTGTATGGTGAGCTCTCGGTGGCTTGACCATTTTATACACCCCTAAACACTCTACGAAGGCAATTCTTGTTCTCTGTGCTTCCTTCAGGATGGCGCAGACCGCGAGTTGGCTGAAGAACGCGAGAATACCAAGAGTTTAGGTGTTGGTGGTGCGGTCCGCCTTCCAGGTTCGGGCCTTCGTGACCTTTTTTGGCTCTTGGCTGGAGACAGCAAGAAATGGTGGTTATTCAACGTCTGTGACGTTCGTGCTGTCAGCTTCCGTTCGGAATGTCTGATTGGGCGCTCGGAATGCCCAGAATGCTTGTGATAAGCCAGCGCCTGGTCCCCTCTTTTCTCTTCTTTTCACCCCAATATAGTTAGGCGAACTTTGTGGTTGTACGCCAGTGAAGCATCACTGCTAGCCCCTATGTTGTGATGATCATCAATGAATCGGTCTTTTTAATAGCTTTTGATTATGTCATTGGAATAACAAACCACTGAGCAGTATTCAGATGACCAAGCGGAAAACTGAATGTGGGGTCCTTCAGCCTATTGTGGCGCGTGGAATTGAATACAGTCTGAACGAGTGTGAAAGAGTCAAGCAGTTATTATGTTCTCATGATAGGGCATTCAGGCCTTTCGAGAAGACAAGCTAGTCCAAGCACCTCAGAACGTATGAGGTGGAACTTTGCCTACAAAACGCATTCAAGGCCCCAGGACAGAGAAGCGCCAAAATGAATGGCACGATCGATACCCGTTTTACTGTGTTCAACTTCCAGCACATCACTTTCAGCTTGTGTTCACCAAATTTACGACCAGTCCTTATTTGGTACAAAGCAAACTCTGAAGGGATTAGGTTGAATGGTTTGATGGTAGTAAACGCCGCGGAGGCAATTTTGTAAATGTGAACAATGACTACCTCTGCGCCGCGCTCGACACGCGCGGTTCTCACGGATTCAACCCGTGAAGCTAATCCGTAGCAGCATCAACTGATGGATTACAGACAGCATGAAATGAATTTAGCTTAAATTGGTCCAAAGAGCTACTGAATTATGAGCACCTTGATCGCCTTGTGAGCTCGCCTTGATCCAGAATTAGTTAACCTGCACGCATCTTAGTTCTTGTGCCTCTTTCGGGTTGCATGACAGCTATACTTCAACCACAGGTGAACCATCCGATCTTCCGGTCTGTTGTCATTTTTTTGGTTTCGTATTCGGCTGCGAATGAACGAAAGTTGTTCCAGCTAATCCGAAAAAAAACAGGACTTAGAAGATATCCCTCAAGTGATTTGATCGAATTTCATGTTAGAAACCAGCGCACAGTAACCACCAGCGTCTAGATCACTGGGTGGAGTGAGTTTGTTAGTGCTGTCTAGGTGGCCATCTTCCACTTTGCCTATCTGCCATTCGACCCGTGGTCTGATTTTAGGCTCCCTCTTTCAGTTGATGAACGAAAGTGTTCCAGCTAATCCGAAAAAAAACAGGACTTAGAAGATATCCCTCAAGTGATTTGATCGAATTTCATGTTAGAAACCAGCGCACAGTAACGACCAGCGTCTAGATCACTGGGTGGAGTGAGTTTGTTAGTGCTGTCTAGGTGGCCATCTTCCACTTTGCCTATCTGCCATTCGACCCGTGGTCTGATTTTAGGCTCCCTCTTTCAGTTGATACATACCCTTTCTGCTTTGGGTCATCACCAGGCTGTTGGACCAGATGAGTTTCCTTGAGCGTTGTTCAATGATGGGGTCGGTCTTTGCGTTCGTTTTTTACTAAATTGTTCACACCTATTTGGGAGGGCGAGATGGACCAAGTGGTTAGAGCGCGAATTTACTGACCGGAAGGTCAGTGGTTCGAACCCGACCTCTGCCTCTCGACTTCCCCTGTTTAGGCTTGGGCAACCTGGCAGTACCCCAGCCCTCGTGTGGCATGGCAGCTAGGCGCCGAAAAGATGCTGCAGCTGAACGACCTAAAATCTAAAACCTATTTTGGAACAGTGATGTGTTTCAGAGAAGTGGGGCCGACCGTTGGTCGTATCTGTGTTCAATAAAGTTACCGAACAGACTATTCTAACCAGATAGATATGAGTCTCACACCTGTTTCAGGACGGCTGCTGGTATACCTTATATTGCAAAGTCTATCTTCAGCACGTGAGACACTAGTCTGACAGCGTCAAGCAGGATTTCCACTTGACAGAGGTTGTACTGATCTTTACATTCTGTCAGGTGCTTGGGTAGCGCTACTCACACCGGCGACCAACAATTGCGGTTTTCCTTGACTTTAAGGGAGTCTTCAGCTCCCTGGATAGATTAGCTCTTAAATAATCGTGGTCAGACAGAAATAATGTCGAAATTTGCAAACAGTCCACGTTGCCCTCTGTATTCATACTTCCGGTCGGGTTGGGGTGTACAGTAAAGTGTCCAGAGGCGTCCTGACAAATAGTGGAATCAGTCAGGTTTGTCTCCGCCTTTTTGTTCGGTTTCATCCTCGAAGTTGTCGTGGAGTGCTCACTATAATGAACCATGAATCTATATGACGAAATCACGTCTGGAGAGAGGTTAATGGACTTGGACTTGATGATATTGTTTTGTTGTTTGACGTTTTGGATTACTTTACCTGGAATATCCGGAGGTCGTTCTACTTTCCAACAGGCGTTTTGCACCTTCGGATTGCAACGTCTTTAAGATTCTTCATCCTGTTGTGCCCCTTGAAACCTCAGACTGACGGATTTGAGTTTTGTCCACCGGCTCATAAATCTTGGCCGCTGCATAAGCCTTGATTATATTGCAGCAGATGAAGTTTATGCGCGGATAATCAAGGCACGAAGTGTTCAACAACTTGGCTGGGAGTCGGAACCGAATGTTGCTGAAGCTTAAGGCCTCGTATACTCACTCTGTGGTGATGAAATTCCCCCCCCACACACACACACACACGGAAATATGTACATGCTGTTGGTCTCGGTTAATCCAGCTTCAACAGACATGCCGAAGTGAAAGACATCTTGCTTTACTGTTTACTTCTCTTGAATTTTCTATGGCACAAATTTGCCCTTATCACTCAGTAGAAAAGTAGAAACCCATCTTATAAACGTCTCAAAATTAACCTGGGTGTTCACTACATATCAGAACATTGGTGCAAACTGGCTGTTTCTGATACAATTGTGAATGTGTGAAGATATGAGAAAATTTCAACCAAGCAAAGGCTCCGGTGTGGCCTTGTTCAGTGATAGTGAGTAGTTTCTGAAGATGAAGTTGATATACAGAGATATCATGCAGATCTAAATACTGGACGACCGCGCAACGTTGCGAAAGAAAACCTGTCATGATGTTGTGTTACATTCACTACGCAGACGCTTCGTGAATACAACTGAATGAGTGAAATGGCTGCTAGCCCGTTGGCTGTTGGACCAGATGAGTTTCCTTGAGCGTTGTTCAATGATGGGGTCGGTCTTTGTGTTCGTTTTTTACTAAATTGTTCACACCTATTTGGGAGGGCGAGATGGACCAAGTGGTTAGAGCGCGAATTTACTGACCGGAAGGTCAGTGGTTCGAACCCGACCTCTGCCTCTCGACTTCCCCTGTTTAGGCTTGGGCAACCTGGCAGTACCCCAGCCCTCGTGTGGCATGGCAGCTAGGCGCCGAAAAGATGCTGCAGCTGAACGACCTAAAATCTAAAACCTATTTTGGAACAGTGATGTGTTTCAGAGAAGTGGGGCCGACCGTTGGTCGTATCTGTGTTCAATAAAGTTACCGAACAGACTATTCTAACCAGATAGATATGAGTCTCACACCTGTTTCAGGACGGCTGCTGGTATACCTTATATTGCAAAGTCTATCTTCAGCACGTGAGACACTAGTCTGACAGCGTCAACCAGGATTTCAACTTGACAGAGGTTGTACTGATCTTTACATTCTGTCAGGTGCTTGGGTAGCGCTACTCACACCGGCGACCAACAATTGCGGTTTTCCTTGACTTTAAGGGAGTCTTCAGCTCCCTGGATAGATTAGCTCTTAAATAATCGTGGTCAGACAGAAATAATGTCGAAATTTGCAAACAGTCCACGTTGCCCTCTGTATTCATACTTCCGGTCGGGTTGGGGTGTACAGTAAAGTGTCCAGAGGCGTCCTGACAAATAGTGGAATCAGTCAGGTTTGTCTCCGCCTTTTTGTTCGGTTTCATCCTCGAAGTTGTCGTGGAGTGCTCACTATAATGAACCATGAATCTATATGACGAAATCACGTCTGGAGAGAGGTTAATGGACTTGGACTTGATGATATTGTTTTGTTGTTTGACGTTTTGGATTACTTTACCTGGAATATCCGGAGGTCGTTCTACTTTCCAACAGGCGTTTTGCACCTTCGGATTGCAACGTCTTTAAGATTCTTCATCCTGTTGTGCCCCTTGAAACCTCAGACTGACGGATTTGAGTTTTGTCCACCGGCTCATAAATCTTGGCCGCTGCATAAGCCTTGATTATATTGCAGCAGATGAAGTTTATGCGCGGATAATCAAGGCACGAAGTGTTCAACAACTTGGCTGGGAGTCGGAACCGAATGTTGCTGAAGCCTAAGGCCTCGTATACTCACTCTGTAATGATGAAATTCCCCCCACACCTTGACGCGAACACCCTAGGCGTCTTCGGGTTCTTGACCACCGGTGCCTCCGTAGCACAGCAAGAGTTAGTGTTGTAGCGAGCAAGCAAGGAGGTGGTGAGTACCGGGGGACGAATTTGAGTCGTTAGAGCAACCGATAAGGTTTGTGCAGGACAGGCCATGGCGTAGCAATATGAATTGAAAGCGGCTACTGTCAAACTGACTGCTCTAGCATGTCCGCGATTCCCTACTTGAGGCCCTCGTGATATCGCCTGTACCTGGTTGGAAACCCAGCAGGACACTGCACACAACCAATCCCAGTGGCGCGCGTGATATGATTTCCTAGCCAGATCGCTCACCTAAGGTTCGCCTGTCGTGCGCTGGGTTTGTGTTGGATGAGGTTCAATCCCGTCGATACCCCGTTAATCAAAATGATGCTCACACGTTTATTTTGACGCCGTCCAAAGGTACAGACACATTATTGATCGTTTTCTTCGCACAATCAGCCATAAACCATGTACCGCGGGGTACATTGGTTCCAGCTGCTACATTTCCGACTGCCACAGAGCTTGGGAAATACAGCCAAACCTTTGAGTCGGTGACATGCTCAGTTAGTTTGAGAACTATGTAGCTGTGCGTTGAAAGCAATAGCTTTGGTGCCTGGGTGCCATTGACTGCGCGATTGGGTCATTTTGCTACAGTTCCGACCACCGGAGAGCTTGGGAGATACAGCCAAGCCTTTGAGACGGTAACATACTCAGTTAGTTTGGGAACTAGGTAGCTGTGCGTTGAAGGCAATAGCTTTGGTGCCCGGGTGCCATTGACTGCGCGATTGGGTCATTTTTCTGCCAGTGTCACTAACTATTGGTGAGTTCAGTCTCGGAGTCCACATCCGGCAAAGCGGCAGTCATCGTCCCGACTTAGCTGGCTGGTTAGTGTTTTCATACTTGGTTGGCACCGTCCCTACTCTTTGCTAGGTTCTTCCTTCCTGTTTGTATGGCAGTTGAACACCAGTACGTATTACCAGTGTATTGTTTTCAATGGTCATTGATACTGGACTAGATTTTTTGTTGGCTACCAATAACGTAATTGTTTCATTTGTTCATTTCTGCATTTAGGTCTGAAGCCACTACTCGGCATAGATGTGTGGGAACATGCCTACTATCTACAATACAAGAATGTACGTGCTGACTATGTGAAGGCCATTTGGGACATTATCAATTGGGATGACGTCGCCGCGCGATTTGACTCCGCCAGGTCGTAAACCAAGCCACGAAGACCGAGAAATTCTTGTCATACATTTTTGTCTTGATCACGTAGTCTCTCTGCTTAATTTGACCTGTCGTCCACAATCTTTGTTCTCCCATTTAGATAAGGAGCTAGTTGGTGGCGGGGATTTTTTCCCCACAATTGATGATGCGGCGAGGTTTCCTCCCGGGTTAGCTAGAGCACTTGGGAATCTCAGTGCTCCTTCTTCTCATGGATCAGGTGAGCGTTGGGAATCGTGCGGAGGATCGGTGTGTCTTGTGATTGGGTGGTTATTCATCTGACGGCCCTCGCTACGGAACAAGCACTGGTCGATGATGTTCTGGGGTGACGTTAGAATGAATACCCTCTGTTATTGGTGTAGGGGGCGCTTTGGCTTAGTGACTAGGGTGTGAATTTACTGACCGGAAGGTCCATTGTTCGAGCCCGACCTCTGCCTCTCGACTTCCCCTGTCTAGGCTTGGGCAACTTGGCAGTAGCCCAGCCCTCGTGCTTCCTTCGGGTAGCATGGCAGCCAGGCACCGGAAGGTTGTTACAGCTGAACGAAATTCCATCACTGCCCACGGCAAGTGGATTTACTTTCACTCACTGATAACAGGAAGAAACGAGTGAGGGCAATCACATGCTGGAGAGTGGCTATACCAGTTCTTTCTACCTAGGGCGACTGCCGATTGAACGATGTGGGATTGGACAAGTCTGATACAACAGTGCTATTCTAGCAATTCAGTTCAACCGCCATTGGTGGGTAAGATACCAGATGGATTGTAAGTGACTTGTCTGGCTTTAGGAATTCAGTTTTGTGGTTACTTTCAGACAGCTTTTGCACACTCAGACAATATAGCAGTCGAACGGCGCATCCGATCCATAAAAATGACAAAATGGGCAGAAATGCAGACCAAAGTGATTACGTGCTCAGTAAATTAAGCAGCTATCAGACCCAACCAGGCGCTGGATATCGGACCAAACAGATTTGTAAATTAAGGAGCTATCAGGCCCAACCAAGCACTGGATATCGGACCAAACACTAGCACTGCTTAAATCTCGGAGAACTATCCCACGAAAATAACTTGGCGCGACGAATTATCAGCGGTCTAGCGAAAATGAGCTTACGAACCGACCGTGAAGTCTGGTGGACAAAGAAAGCCAAGGAAATGGAAGAGGCCCAGAAGGCCGGTAATGCCTGAAGATTATTTCAGTTGATCCATGCGACCGGTTCCAGGAACTAAGATGTCTTCAGTTGTTCGGCAATCGTTGTCTCCAGACCATAGCTCGTGGTGTCAGCCAGGCAATTAAAAAGCGAGTTTTTGATTGTGCAACTGGGACTTCCACTGAAAAATGTGTTCGGTCCCAGAAGCTGTGTTGGTCAGGTTGTGTATTTCGCATGCCAGAGCGTAGTTTACCGAACAGATTGCTATTTTCCATGCCCAATTCAGAGTGGCGGAAGCAGAGAGGTTTCCAACCCTTGACTTGGCAGACTGGTAGGAAAGATATTACGAAACATTTGGGTGCTGTCCGTGCTACTCGCCTTCCAGAATAGGGCTCGCTTGATCCCTACTTTGTCTGGTTGGAGACACCGCAAGATATGGCCGCCAACTGATGTCAGTGGCGTTCTTGTTATCAATTTCTATCCAGATTGCCTGAATGAGTGTTTGGAGGTATAGGCACTTCGGAATGATTGTAGCAAGCTAGCACTAAGTTTCCCCAGCCACCTTTATTCTATTTTCAAAAATAAGGCTTTCAAATAAACCATGGTTGTACGACAATGAAGTATCGGTGTTGAACACTGATGTCATCCTGTCGACGCTGACGATGTACTTGTGTGTCCCAGAGCCCGGAGGGTTAGGCCTAATTAAACACCCTGTCTTCCATCGTCTTTCTCTACACTGTTGTGGTCGCGTGGGACCGCTTTAACAATGACAAACCACTGTACGGATCTAATCCACAGTGCCACCGCCAACCACGCCAGTCATGCTTTTTGAGTAATTCGCCTGAGAATAAGGACCTACTGTCCAATTTGGGTTCAAGTAGAACATAAGGTTGGCGGAAACTTGTGGACTGTGCCTACCTGATGAGCCCCAAGGAGGGCGAAACCGGTGGTGGGCTATCGAAGAGTTTTCAGCAACCTTGTGAGTAGTTTCCTTCATGAGACCTATTGTCAATGTTTATCATATGCAAATGGACCAATAGTTTAGCGATAGTGCATACCCGGACGGTGTGGATTGTGATATTGAAACGGCACTGTAGCCGAACAAATGGAGAAGCAGAGTTTCATAATATACATACTGTAGCAGTCGATAATCCCCAAACTGGTCAGAAAAAATGGATCTGTCTTTGGATGATGTCATGTGGATCAATATGTTCTTCATGAGTGCGACACGCATATGAAAACTATACATCCGGTTTTGCCAGACGGTATGTCTCACCATCAAATACCAGCTCGGAATCGTGTAATTTCTTATCTAGAAATTGGCGCAGTTCATCTCGGTTGCACTCCAACGTTGTGGTGGATCCGAGTGCAAACATTCGCAGCATCGAGTGGATTCGATCGAGTGAAAGTCCGCCAAGATTGGTGAGCATCGCGACGATGTAGGACCAAAAGACCTATGAATGGATAAAAGAGTTCATTTCAACGGACAGTGGATAACGTACAATCAAATAAGAAAGCACTGGTCTGGTGCGACGCTTTGTTTACGAGAGTCTACCACAACAAACGATGTCTGTGACACAATGAGCCCGATCGATCTAGGTTAAGAAGTCCGCAGAACAAGTTTTCAGCTGCAGGCGAAAAACTGAACGAATGTTTTCATTCAGTAGGAACAGCGAGATGGACCAAGTGGTTAGAGCGCGAATTTACTGACCGAAAGGTCCGTGGTTCGAACTCGACCTCTGCCTCTCGACTTCCCCTGTCTAGGCTTGGGCGACCTGGTAGTATCCCAGCCCTCGTGCTTCCTTCGGGTGGCATGGCAGCTAGGCATCGGAAGGGTGTTACAGCTGAACGATTTCGAACAAAGAAACTTAGGGGATATCAACAGTACTGCAACTCTTTGGTAAGATTTTCGATAAAAAACCATCAGTTCTTCGTAGAGATCGCTTGTATGTTCCATAGAACTCATCGACGTAATGAACGCGATGGCGACTGATAAACACCGTTAGGAACTCTCAATGTGGCTTTTCTTCAGTCTTAGAAGGACTGGTGCGTCTTTCCCCGTTATCAAAAGCGAACTTACCGGAAAGTTCGTGATTTAAACCCTAACCCGACTACTCTTGTCTAAGCTTGGGCAACTTAGCCGTATCACAGCCCTCGTGCTTCCTTCATTTGCAATGTCAACCAGGCAACCAAGTACTGCCACAACTGGACGTTGTTTTTTTTTTGTGTGTGAAAAGATAGTGGTACACCGCTAAGAGAGTGAAAACGCACTATACCGTAAATAGGTGCGATAGAATGTCTCATGAAGCTGGTCAAGGCAAGATCCACAAGGAACTAGCACCTCACAATAAATCCGACACAATAATCCGAGAAGAATGCATAATCTGGGGATAAGGTGAAAGATGTGATCCAAAATGTCTTGTGTTCCCGTTATTCTTCTGAACTCGCACGCGGACTGCGCCCTACCTCGGCCTCAGATTTCCGACAAACAACGGTCATGATCAACATACTTCACCTGGCCGGCTGGACCTGCCCACTAGACGCAGCGTGGGGAATACAGACAAAGTGGCTATATATGTGAGCTTGTCATAAGTAACCGCTAACAGGCAAAACGAACCTGGAGCTCCTTCTCCTTACGCTCTCGTACACTCGAAACCACTGACTCCGTGTCTTCGCCTTGTCCTGTGAGGAGCCATCTGCTTGCCCCAGGTGATTGTGACACGGCACTGGAAGTTGAAGATGTAGTGGCCGCAGCTGCGACGGCGTTTGTCGATGAGTATGTAGCCGAGCTACAGACCTCGAAAATCTCGGCATTCCCGTCGGCGTTGACTGAGCTACCTGGAACTGTGGGACGTTGACGTATGAAACCGAGGTGAATGAACGACTGCAAACTGTGTCGGATGTTGGATAACTGCGTTTCTAACTCCTGGAAATGACGGAGCAAGAACATAGAGGAAGGGACACGTGAAAAACACGAATCAAAGTAAACGGTTAGGGCTTATGAAGATCTAGCCGGACGGGTGAGTTACACTAACCTGAGCCAGATCGCGCACATTCCAAGAGCGTCTCAAAGTGAACAAGTAGGCGACCGAGGCCTGCAATGGGGTCACATCCAGTTGTAACTTGCGATCGCCAAGCTCCAGATCGATGTTGACCAATCCCAATTTGTGCATCCACCGAAGTGTTCGATTGCCTTTCAAACGTTGGAAAACCCTGCAGATAACCACAAGTAATGAGAAGGTCAGAGTAAGGCCAAAAGCCGTATGGAAATTTTATGGAAACAGCGGAGCATGAAATTCATTCTGGATCGTAATACGATCCTCATCACTAGAACACCAAAAGGCGGAAATACTCCTCGACAATAATTTTTCACCGGACAGAATTCCAACCTTCGATTACGAAGAGCCAAGAAGATTAATCTTATCCGAAAGCTTGTTAAAAGCTCTGCAAAATACGCTGTTGCTGGTACAATGACCAACAGCAAAACCAGTCAGTTTTCAAGATTTGATACGGCATCGCGAAACCTCGAAAATTTCGAATCTCATGTCGCTGGCCGTAAAAACCCGTAACGAAATCCAATACACAGAGAAGTCGGCATAAAATTGGAACCCATTTCTAAAGCCTTACTCACCGGGAAGAAGCTCATCGAACTATCGTTACGGAGGCAGGCTGTGTCATGAAAGAGAGCCGTATTAAAATGTCACACAAATTTCGTTGCGCACCAAATACAGAAGAGCTCGAGATAACTCAGCGATTGAGGCTTGAACTTACTGCCGGAAGGTTCGTCGTTCGAACTACTCCGGTCTCGGCTTGGGCAACCCTCGTGCTTCCGTCGGGTGGCATGGCAGCTAGGCACAAAGATGGTGCTACACCTAAGCAGTTATCGTCACTTTTATTTATTTATTATACTATGTTCAGACCGCAAGCAAGACGCTATCTCTGCACCACTGCATGTGTTGGACAGCGTGACGCGATCCAAATAGTCTGCACCGTACTAGCTAGCACCCTGTTTGGGATAAACATTCAATTTGTTTTTTCAGTATATATATATATATATATATATATATATATATATATGCATTTGGGGCTTGCGGG